TGGCCACACCTGTGAACACAGCTAGAATAAGAAGAAAAGAAGGATCTAGACATGGTGACACCTGTGTGCGACCTCAGCACTTGGGAAGAAATGGGAGGAGGATTGTGAGTTCAAGGCCAGTCTGGGATATCCCGCCTCCCCAAACAAAGAAAATGAAGAAACAGCAGAATTGTGGGGGAGGAAGAGTCAGGGAACAAGACTTGGTTCTTTCCTGCACCACCAAGGAATTCAGGGGAGTCACGAAACTGTGTATTTGACGTTGGCCAAAAAGATGTCACCGCCCTTACTTGCACTGCTGGTGCCATGCTTCCCTCTTTGGTTGTTGTGCATTGAGCGCCTCCCATGGGACACAGGCTGGGTGCAGAGAGATGATACCATGTGACCTCTTGCAGAAGAGGCCCACTGCCTGGAAGTAGATCTTTGCTTATAGAAGAATAAAGTTCTATTATGGAAGAATACAATGCCTGGGCAATGGAAGGACCAAGGATGGTGTCTTTAGTTACTATTATTTTGCTGTGGAGAGACCATGACCCAGGCAACTCTCATAAAAGAAAGCACTTAACTGGGGGCTTGCTTATAGTTTCAGAGGGTTAGTCCATGATCATCATGGCAGGAAGCATGGTGGCAGACAAGCAGGAATGGGGCACACACACACACACACACACACACACACACACACACACACACAGGGAGAGAGAGAGAGAGAGAGAGAGAGAGAGAGAGAGAGAGACTGGGCTGGGCATGGGCTTTTGAAACCTCAAAGCCCATTCCCAGTTATACATCTCTTCAAACAAGGCACACCTCCTAATTCTTCCCAAATAGTTCCACTAACTGAGAACCAAGCATTCATGGATGTGAACCTATGGGGACCATTCTCATTCAAGCTACCACATTCCTCTCCCTGGCCCCCACAGACTTGTAGCCTGGACCCTGGGGTGCTGTGGGAGAACAAGCAAGGAGATTGTGTTGAAGAGGTAGCAGAAGACATCAAGAAGGGTCAGGACAGAGAGCTTTGGTGTTACCCAAGGGCAGTGGGAAGTCCTGGAAAGACAACTTTGGTGAGGGAGAGACTGGCAGAATGATGGTTTGGAAAGGCCGCCTGGGCTGCTAGGCAGGATTTTCTAGCAGGGGTGAAGTGGGAAGGGAAAGGTTGATGGCAGGGAGCTGTGAGCAGGTTGTAAGAACCTGAAGCTTCTAGTCACAGCTTCTGAGTGGGTCATCAGGCATGTTGTGTGATTTGCACTAGAGCAGGATAAGTAGCCTGAGAGTGAAATTGATCCATGTGGTCATTACGTCTGCCCAGAGCAGGGGTCCAGATGCAAGGGTTAATTCTAGGAAGCTTCCTGTGCAGAGAAGGCAGACCCACACCCGTCTATCCCCCGCCAGCCTCGGCCACACCCAACAGCAGTTCCCAATCTTCTTCTATACATGACTCTGAGGAGAAGTTAGGCAGGGGTGTTTTCCAGACGCTAGGCTGAGGTAAGGTGGGTTACTGAGCCAGTCCTAGAGAGATGCCATTGTGCCAAGGTAGCTTTAAACCATAGGACACATCTTGATTCTCAGAAATGCTGCCATTTCCCAGAGCCCAGCATCCCTGGAGGGATGGGGCGAGTTGGTGTCACAGCTGTAGGAGGAAGAACAGGAGGAACCAGCTCCAAGAAACCCAGAGGCATCTAGTGAACGAACAAGCTCTGGGGCCAGAAGGCTACCTGGGATGGACAAGTGGAATACAGGCTCTAAGCTCAGGTCTGCTGGCCCTCCAGTGCTTTGAGGTCCGCAGGACACAGTGTCATAGACCCCAGTTGGAGTCCTCTTTCCTCCTTTTATTCTCATCCTCATCATTCGTCCCCTGGGTCTTCGTTTCCTCATCTAGGAGACATGAATGGTAATCCCCACTGGGGTCTTCTGGGGAACAGGTAAGATGATGGGTTTGAATATAATAGAACGGTGAAGTGGGTATCACTACCTCAGGTAGGACAGTAGATCCCTGGGTTCCCCTGTGGGAGCCTTGGAGAGTCCCTAAGACTGCCATTTCCTTCTTTCTCAGTCGCCTCATGTGAGATGGGTCAGGGTACCACAGGGGGTCGGTGGCCAAGAAAAGATGATCATCTTTGAATATCCCTCTCTCCATCCTCAGTTCTCCTTTCTTCTCTTTTCCCTCTCCCTGGGATCTTCTCATTACCAAGACTGATTGGTTTCTCTCCATCCAAGCGTCTTCCATCCCACACACACAGCCAGCCATTTTCCTCTTCTTATTGCTAAATTTGTTAAAAAGTCTGTCTCCTCACGCCCCAGAAAATGCCTCAGGTCCCCCAAACTGAGCTTCTGATTCTCAAACAACACTAATGGTTGTCATGGCCACAGGTTGTCCTTGTCTCCACAGATGGCTCTCTCAGGCCTCGCCTGTTTGACTTCTTGGTGGTGAGTCTCCTGCCTCTGGTTTCCCTAGTCATTCCCTTGCAAGATGCTGTATGCCTTCGTCCCAGTCTCCCTTCTCTTGTCACTCCACAATCTTTCCCAGACCATGGTCCCTCCCGTCCTGGCTTTGGTCACCATCTATAAGCCAACAGCTCCCACCCTCTGTCTCTAACCAAGCCTTCTTCCAGTAATCCTTAATATACTCAGAATGCTATGGCTATGTCCTCGGGCGCCCCGTGTGTGTGTGTGTATGTGTGAGTGTGTGTGTGTGCATGTGTGTCTTCTAGAAGCCATCTGGTAAGATTCCTCCTTCTCCCTCAACTTTACACCCAGTCAGTCCAGCCTGCCTTCCCCATGGCCTCCTTCCTACCCAAGCCTCTCATGTACATTCCCAACCCTTTCCTCCTTGGCTTCAGCCCAGCTCTGCCAGGCCATTCTTCTGCAACAGGTAGAGGCAGCCTCTACGTCACGGATTGCCTTGGGGTGAAGCCAGAGCCTCTCAGCTGGAAGGCGGCCCCACCTCCATCTGCCCACTGCCCAGCACTGTCCAGCATGGTGAACGACCGTGATTCTCCTTGACATTTGCCTCTCTCATCTACAGATGAGAGAAGATAGCTCCTATGTCACTACCCACCCTCCCCTCCCCACCTGTCTCTTCCCATCCTTCAGAGCCTGTGAAGGGTCCTTACTTGGGGTTAGGGGCTGTGGCCCATGAAGTCCTGTCTTCATCTCTTCATCACTCAGGCATCATGATGTCACCATTTCATCTCATTGCTATTGTCCCCCTCCTCCAGACTCAGGAAGGGCAATATTGGCTCTTTGCTCTGTGTCCTTGTTCTAGTTGTAAGGCTTAACCTGGAGTTAAGGCTCAGAAAACATGTGAAATCATGGAGCGGTTTGGTGTTGCTCAAAATAAGTGTTGGCTCAAATAGTAAAGACTGAACTGAAATAAGGAGGGCTTGATGTATAAACTGTGCTTCCTGATGGGGAAGCAGGCTTGGGGCGCACATCATAGGCTTCACATAGCCTGTTAAAGAAACCAGGAAGGTGGCTTGTTTTGTCACATCAGGAAGAGTACACTGGGGACCTGTTCCTGTCCTGAAACCCAGGACTGCAGAGCCTACTTGCAACCCTGTGATGGAGAAGAGGGCCAGGGGGTGGGGCAAGGGGCAAGGATGGGGCACTGGGAAAAGCTGTGCTGAAGAGACATCCCATATAGCTGGAAAGGTGGTCAGGGCTCACACTGTGAATGGCTGGGCTTCTAGGTTCCCGAATTGCTCAGAACCTACCCCTAGAGTTGCCAAGTTGAATCCCTGTGGTGAGCAAGCTAGCCAAAACAAAGCCTATATATTAGAAGGGACAGGTAGGGCCTATGGGATGACAGGGAGGCCACATGTTTTTTCTAACATCAGACTCTTTAGCCTGTCCCCCCAGAGGTGGCAAAGGGAGCTTAAGGAAGGTGATTCTCTGTAAAAGTGGCATTGGTGGCCACTTAGATCTCCTGGACCTCGGGGACAGTGGTGGAAACCAAGGCTGTCTGTGGAGACAAGCAGGGTGGGCTCTCAAGGTGGCACACAGATCCAGTCAACAGGCCTCTGCTCACCATCTCTTCACTGCTTTTAACCTGATGTGGGTGGGGGAGCGGGCAGCTAGGGCTGTGGGTGGCTGAGCCTGGCTATCCCGAGAGTTTCAGCAGGGCGGCAGAGGACCTGAGTTCAGGCCCTGCCTCATTACTCATCCTTGTGAAGCTCTGGGAAAGACTGCCTTACTGGAGCCTCAGAGGCCTCTCCAGAGTGGGAGGCAGGAGTATAAATCCCACATTTTGACGTAAGTGAAGTCACGGGCCATAAAGCATATTTGACATTGCAAGCACTTACACACGTGGGCAGGATAAATGGTTGGTTTGTCTTTCACTGTAAGGGTTAGGCCTTCTCAGACAACTGGCCAACTTGGCAATTTGACTGTAGTCTTGAATCCCTTTGGAGGAGAGGCTGATCATGTTGTCAGCCTCACACAGGGAAGGAGTACTAGCCAGGAGCAGAGCCCTGGCTTCCAGTCTGGGCCGACAACTAACCTGCTCTGTGCCTTCAGGTACCTTACCTCCAGGTTTCCTCTAACCCCAGATTCCCTGAAGTAGGGGCCAGCCACAGGAAGGCCCCAGGCCCCGGGGAAAGTGCTTTGAGGCAGTGATCACCACTACTTGGCTACCTGAGTTAGTTCCTCTTAGGTTTAGCACCGTGAAGCCCCTAGAGAGGTAGGGGTGCTACCTGGGGGGATGGGAAGGTGTGGGAGGAGGGGAGGGAGAGGGAGATGGGATTGACATGTGAAGCAAGCTTTTTTTTTCTTAAAAAAATGTAATAAAATATAATGAAAAAAAAAGCTTAGGGGTTAGGGTGCTGGGAGACAAAGGCTGGACAAGGAGGCTGCAAGAGCTCTCACGGCTCTGAAGAAAAGCTGCTGTGAGGACTCGGGGGCCGTACCCTTCTGAATACGCATCCACCCATATGAATTCAAGACGAAGGCATGGATCTGTCTAGAAGGGTCCCTGGAAATGGGATATGAAGTCAACAGGCAAGGCTGGGTGGCAGTAATGCAACTTCTTTATTAATATATAATAACAAAAACAATAAAGCTAATGTCTGCAACTGTTTAAGGTCCTTGTTATAATGTCTTGGTCACTTTGTCTGGGCTGGCTGTGACTTTTAGCTCTGGAGTCTGGGCTAGGAAGATGGTCCAGTAACCTGCATGGATGGAGGTAGAAGAGACAAGGGGTGTGTATGGCCACATATGCTCACACACATGTGTGCAACAGTGCCAGTGACTGGGCTTTCAACGCTTGGGGCAGGAGAGACTGTATGGGCTAAGCCTTGGGACACACTGGTGGCGAGGTGGGGTCCCCATCGTAGAGTTGTATGACTCAGCCTCCAGACACCCTGCATTTAGGGGCTGGGTTTTCTGACTCTATTCCTGTGGGTAATGTTTCATCTGTCTCCTGACCTGCCACCCCCCAAAACTGCATGGGAGTCCATCTTCATAGAGTAATGCAGGGCAAAGTGATTAGAAGGGTCTCTTATTGGGAATAGGTAGTCTAGAGCAGTGGTTCTCAACATTCCCAATGCTGTGACCCTTTAATGCAGTTCCTTATGTTCTGGTGACCCACAACCATAAAATTATTTCATAATTGTATTTTGCTACTGTTGCTATTTCATAACTAATTTTGCTACTGTTTTTAGTTATAACGTAAATATCTGATATGAGACCCCAAAGGGGTCATGACCCACATGTTCAGAGCCGCTGGTCTAGAGGGATGGGAAGCACCAGGGCTTGGGGGCTCAAACCTGACCCTACTGGACCAACACAAGGCCAGCTGCTTAATCTCACCTTCTCTCTCTCTCACTCAGGGATTGAGAAATCTCTGGCCCAGACACCCACTGGATTCCTGTGCTGGGAACTGACGTCTGTGGCTGACAGCCCCCTCCCCCACTCCTGACACCAGCATCCTGGGAACTCCCCAAGAGGTCCTGCTTTGTCTCTGTTCCCCTCCCTGGCCCTGTTCCTAGACCAAGGTCCCCACCTTCATGGGTGCCAGTGAGCAGCCGGAAGTTCTGGGCCTCTTTCTGGAAATCTTGCTTCCTGACTCTCTTGATCTGAACCAAGTGGAAGATTCCTGTGGGCAGACAAGCCATGAGCTAGGAAGGTAGGGTGGGGTGACAACCCACAATTCACCCCACCACCTCCCTCCCGGCCTCCAATCTGACCAGACCTGCAGCGTTCCTGTCTTCCCACCCCACTGCATCTCCTCAGTCACCACACCAGGGCCCGAGCCCCTCTTAACCCACAATCCTAATGGTGACCATTTGAAATGAACTGGCTTCTCTGACCACCTGTCACCTCCACAATAAATAAAATATGTCTGTTAACCTCTTTTCTCTGCTGCTCCTCTTGTCACCATCTATACACCTGCTCACGGTGAAGGGAAAGAGGGGGGAAGGAAGGAGGGGAGAATAAAAGAGACAATGAAGAATAAAAGTCTGACCATGTAGACCAGCCAAGCTTTTCTCTAGCATACAACAGATGATACAAATCCATATCTGTGATCATTCAGACATCAAGAACATGGAGTTTTCATGTCTTGAGCGTGGACCAGCCCTAGCACGTGAGGTCCTAAGAAGAAACTGAGCCTTCTCTGCACAGCAACTGAGCCACCCATCCACCAGGTCTTAGTGGGAAGGCTTCCCAGATCCACTCTGAAGGGGACTGTAGCCTCCTCTCTGCACGACATATAACACTTAGGGTCTGTTTATCATTTTACCCATTTTTCTTTTTAAAGGTGTTCATGTGGGTGTGGGTGCATACACATATATGCCCGTGAATGTGGAAGACAGAGGATAGACAACTTTGGGTACCATCCTCAGTAATGCTGCTTTCTTCCTTTGTGGCAGGGTCTTTCATTGGCCTGGAACTCACCAGGGAGGCTGGTCTGGCTGGGATCCTCCTGTCTCTGCTCCTCTAGTGCTGCGATTATAAGTGTGTGCCTTTACACGCACCATTTTTACATGCCTTTTGGGGAATGAACTCAGGTTCTCATGCTTTTGAGGCAAACTTCACCAACTGAGCAATCTTCCCAGACCAATTCCACCCATTTCTATGGTGCTGTCTTTATGTCATTATGCCTATTCCCACCTTCTCTCCCAGACTTGGAACTCTTGAGAACTTAACTCTTTGGGTTCTGAGATGAAAAATGTAGGATATATGATTCCCTGGATAGAAGAATGGATGGGTGGATGTATGCATGTATATGTGTATGAATGAATGTGTGGGTGGATGGATGGATGGATGACTAGATGGGTGTGGAGTAGGCAGATGGGTGGATGGATGTATACATGTATATGTGTATTTATGAATGAATGGGTGGGTGGATGGATGGATGATGGGGGAAGTTCTGTGTATATGTCAATAAAGCACTGTTGGCCAATAGGAAAGCAGGATAGGTGGGACTAGGAGTCAAGGAGGATTCTGGGAAATATAGTGAAGAGACTGGTCGCCATGTGATGTCCAGGGAGGAACGGACGTGGCAGGAGTGCGTCCTCATAAAGATAAATCTTTATAAAATCTATATTAGATATTATGGGCTAATAATCAAGTCAGAGCTAGCAGATAAGAAACCAAGCCAACAGCTTCATAATTAACAGTGTCCTGTGTGTTATTTGGAAGCTAAAGTGGCGATGGGACTCAGGTGGTGAGCAGGAAGACTGCACGTTACAGATGGATGGACAGACGTGAGGTGGATGGATAGATGGGTGGATGGATGGATAAATGGTGTGGGGTAGAGATGGATAGATGGGTGTGTTGATGAATGAATAGATGGATAGATAGATGGGTAGGTGGATGTGTGTAAGGGTGGATGGGTAGGTGGATGTGTGTAAGGGTGGATGGACAGATAGGTGTAGAGCATCTGGTTAACTGAATAGATGGTGTGGGTGGATGGATAAGTAGATGAGTAGGTAAATACATATGTACCTAGTCTAGTGAGGCCCCAGAAGGAATGGAGTATTAATTGAATCTTCTGTTATTTTCCCTTTGTGGGAAGCTACCCTGGCACCATACATGGCACCGAGGCCTTAAGCAATGGCCTGTGTGGTGGCATCAGCAGTTACCCATCACAGCCAGAGAGAAGAAATGCAGCCAGCACTGCCTTGGGGAACACCAAGACCCAGACCTATACCCAGGGATCAGAGGGGGCCATGAAGGGGAACAGAAAACACAGATGTGGAGCCTGAGTTTCAGTAATTGGGAACTAGCCAGCACTATCCTTGGAGCTCCATTGTAGACGCCAAGGACCAGCATATAGCTCCCATGGTCCAGGAACAACACCCGAATGGCAAGAAATAACCCCTATAAGAGGAGGATGGGCCCTCCTCCACTGGCCTACCACTGCACGCTCCCCAGCACACAGAAAAAAATGGGAAAAGGGATGGATGACTGACAGGTGTGAGGGATCCTTCCACCACGGTCTGTAGGGCATAACGGAGAGGAAGACACTTTGGAACCTGGGGGTATTGAATGTGTCTCTTGCCCTTTTGAAAGGTCATGTAAAGTCTAAGCATAGCTAAACCCGTGACCCCTTAGGCAGAGTTGGTGCTAGTGAGTGAGTTCCAGGCAATAGGCCAGTCCGGTGCACGGTGAAGCCATTCATCTCTGGACCAAGTTGTTCTGAGCTGAGATGGAGGCACCTGCAGGGGGTGGGGCAGGGGCCAGGGACCATCACAGGCTCTTAACCCAGAGCCCATTATGCTCAGTACCGATGTCCTGAGCTGGTCCCAGATGACATGGCCTTGCTGGTGCAGGTCCAGCGGTCACTGCTTCTTTGTTCCCACTCCTCTGAGGGAGGACACTGCAAATGACAGTCTCCATAATGAGGTCTGGGACAGGGAGGGAATCACGGAACATTCAGGTGACCCAGGGGGCCAGGAGATGGGGACTGCCGCCAGGGACAGGACAGTAGAGTCTGGCATGGTAGAACTGAAGAGTCCCCCCCCATTTCTTTTATGCTGGGTCTGGTGGTGATGCAACAGGAAATAAGTCCCTCCCATTCTCTCTGTGTTATCCTGCCCCTTCTTGATCTCTCTCAGACAAGTCCCTCAGCCTTCGGGAAAGTCATGTCATCTTCCAGCCTGTCTGCCCTTCCTTCGTTTGGCAGTGTCTACGTAGCCCAAGCAGTTCTCAAATTCCCCATGTATCTGAAAAAGACCCTGAAATCTGATTTCACTTCTGGGATTACAGGTGTCTGCCACAGTGTCTGGTTTGTACTGTGCTGGGGATTGAACTCAGGGCCTCCTGTGTATAAGGCAAGCATTCTGGTGACTAAAATATACCCCAGCTTCTCAGACTTAGTTTTCTTACCTACAAAATAATGGCCTGAGTACAAACCATGAAGCTTCTCGTGAGGATTAAACGGGGGCACTTTCCACATGGCGTCTGCTGCATCCAGATCACAGGGCACAGGGCTGCTGCCCTCCTGCCTGAACCCCCCCCGTGGCTTCTCGAAGGCTCCCCTGCTTCTCTCAAGTTGCAAAGGTCCACCCTCTAGGAAGCCTTCCCTGACCAGATCAGCTTCCCACAAGCACCTGTTGCATTCGAGTCATCAAGCCATATGTTCCCAAGGGTGGGGGCTCACTGCTTGCTGCCCTGCCAGCACCTGCTGGGGTGTAGAGTGTGGGTGGTCTGAGTGCTGAAACAGTGTGACCTGAAGGTTGAGAACACTGGCAGGAGTCCCTGCTTCTGCCTCTCTTTCTCTGTCTGCTCTGCACCTTCCTCTCAGCACAGGAGGGCTCTGAGGATGAGCCTCCTCTTACTAAACAGAAGCACCTCTCTCTTATTCTAATCAGCCGGTGTGGCAGGCGGATACAGATATTTTTTGCCACATTCCATAGGTCAGAGATTATCCCAAAACACCTCTCCCCAGTTCACAGAAGAGAGCACTGAGGTCCAGAGAGGCTAAGTGATTACCCGAGGTCACATGGCTAAGAATGAGAAGAGAGGCCTGATTTGAAGTAGCAGAGGTGAGATTTGAACCCAGCATCTGCCTGGGTTGCATAGACTCTGCTTGTGGTCAGACCGCTGTAGTCACTCAGAATAAAGCTGTTTCCTCTGACAGGGCATCCAACCAGAGTCAGGAGCCAGCAGTCCCCACCCACTGAATCTTCTTTTCTCCAGGTTTCCGATCATGGCTCAATGCTTCAATCTCACCAGTAGAGTCTATGATTTTACAGTCAGCTCCTCAAAGGGTGCAGTAACCCTCCATGTCCAGGAGAGGGAGCATTCATAGGCCTTGGCGAGCTTATCAGAGCTATCAGACACCACAGAGGAATGAAAATGGGGATGGGAATAAGGGGTTCTTACTCCTGGAAGGATACTGAGGCATCAATAAAACCTCTGTAAGGCCCTTATCGGTTCTGAGGCCACGAAGGTACCAGAGGAATACAAGGCTGGGAGCAGGAGCTGGCCACTCACCTTTCACTAGCTTCCAGATGTAGATCTCTACCTGGTCAGAGGCTTCATGCTCCAGGACAAAGCGGTGCAGGCTGTCTGGGCTTGGAGCTGGGCTGGGGGATACCAGCGTGTACACAGAGACCTGGCCTGGCACCTTGGGACACTTGGTGGAAGCGACCTCACTGTGGTCGGCATCTGCTTCCTCCTCTAAAAGAGGGGGAAAAAGTTTGTGATGTGTTCAATCAACATTGGCTATTCTCAAAATGTTCCGTGTTCTAATACTTTCTGGCTTCATAGAATGCAAAACATCATTTGATTTCACATCTATGTCAAGAACTTCTGAGCCTACCCCTGTCATGCTAGGTGGTTCATGTAGTCTGGTATCTTCTATGCCTGTACTTCTAGCAGTCCGGGCACCTGTAAAGCCCACATCCTGTGGCTAAGTGTAAGCGCTCCAGGTCCCAGAGGCTCCCAGTGGTGTGGCCAGTGCCGCCCCTGCCTTCAGCAGCCCTCCTACCTGGGCAGATCTTGCAGCACTTCCCAGCCACTTTCTTGGGTTGACTGCAGGGATATTGGGTGGGGCAGGTCACACGATGGCAGTCCTGGTAGCCATCCACACATGTGCACAGGATGCAGGGCATGGGGCCGAAGGAGAGCACAGTAGGGTGCCACACCTCCCCATGGGAGTATGTCTTCCCGTTGTGGGTGCAAGCTGGAACACGGAGAGCAGGGAGGAAGGAGGGAGGGTGAGTGACTTGGCTCTGCCCAGAGTCTAGCGCCTAGGGAACACCAGCTCCACTGCCTGCAAAAACGCAGGCCAGAGAATAAAACCTGTACCAACCCTGACATCATCCAATAGCCAGGGCTTGCTGAAGATGGAGAGCCCTCCCCTGGCCTCAGAGGTCCTGGTGGAGCAAGAAGAGTGCGGGCAGTAGGAGAGCCAAGGACAACTGTCAACACCTGGCAGACCCATGGCTCATCCCTTCCTACCAGCCTGGGAGCCCTGCTGTGGACCCCTGTCCTCCCCTTCTGCAGCTAGTGCTCCTTCCCCGTCCCCACCGTCCCCTGAAGACCAGCTCTGCCCCTCCTTCGTTTTACAGTCTTGTCCTCAGCCCTGCCTCATGGTAATTTATTCACGCGTCTCCCCAACTAGTCTAGCAGCCCACTGGGGTAGAGGCTGGGACAGACTCTGTTCTGTCTCCCCCACTTCTCAATGAAGACATAATAGATGCTCAATGGAATATCATTACTTAGGGGGCTGAAACAGGAGGATCTGAAGGTCAAGGCCAGTCTGAGCTACATAGTGAGACACCCCTCCACCCCCACAAAACAAAGCCGATTCTTTCCCCGATTCAGTACTTGTGCTCCTCAGTGTCCTCATCTGTCAAATGGGAGTTAGGGTCCATGATCTTCAGTTTAAGATCATGGTCAGATTGAGATTGGAGAACCAGAGTAGGGGATGCAGGAGGTAGAGGTCCCCACCCCATCAGCAGATGGGAGGAGGGTCCTGTCCTCACCTTTCTTATGCTTCTCCTTCAGGATAATCTTGATAGTAGTGCTGCCGGTTCCCATTGGTCGGAAGTAGCGAGGGATGAAGCCCAGAGGGGAGCTGAAGCTGGTAGGGGCTGGGGTGCTGGGGCCTCTCCTCTTTCCATCCTCTGGGCATGGACCCTGTCTCTGCAAACAGCGGGCAGGGTGTAGAGCTGTCTGAGTGGGACAGGCCACAGCTGGGGCCACAAACCAGACTGCATCAAATGGTCTGTTAGTAGAGACCAGAGGAAGAGAGAGAGAGAGAGAGAGAGAGAGAGAGAGAGAGAGAGAGAGAGAGAGACAGGACACAGGCTCTGCATGGGTTTCACACAGAACCATCTGGGCGAGGGCTGAGATATTTCCAGACTGATTAATGAAAACACAAGGATTTGATAAGCCAACCTCCACCAAGTCCTTCTCAGACCTTGGGGCTGCCGCCATGGGTAGGCAGAACAATATGGCTTCAGAAATAGAGAAAACTTATTGCATAGGAAAAGTCAGGTGACAAAACAACAGAATGGCCTCTGAAGATCCCAGAAGGTTCCAGAATTCCACAGTGAAGGAAAACAAGATCTACCGAGAGACACAGGGTTTTTAAAAAGAGGGGCCCCTTTCCAAAATCACTGGAATCCAAGGTTCTCACTCCCAGGCCCTACTCTTACTCCTCTGCCCTCCAGACCAGATATAGGATGGTGGAGACAGCGAAGCATGGGTGGGGATGGCAGCTTATGGGGTGGGTGCTCTGCAGCTCAGTTTGGGGACTGGGATCCAGGCCACAGAAGGAAGGCGACAGGATGGGGACAGGAAGAAGAGCCTGTCCTTTCCCTCCATGTCCATGAGCCGCTTACACATCTCCTCCTACAGTCTGTTCCCACTCCACACAGTCTCTTTCACGGCCCAGAGACAGAGCCGGCAGAAAGGAGCACCCAGGCCCCAGTACAGGCTCAGGCACACAGAAGAGCCCAGGAAATGAGGGTAAAGTGGAGTTGGGGCAAGAAGGACTTGAAGGACGTGGCTCCCAACTGGTACATGCCCACGTCATTCAGTTCGTATTCAGGGTTAGGCCCTGGCCTGTGGGCCCTACACACTGTCTTCTAGGGACTATTGGGAAGGGGTGGATCAAATGGCTCAGGGTTATGGGCCCTCCTGAGAAACCAGCCTGGCAGAGGCCAATGGGTGCCCTGGCTAAGGAAAGTCAGGAGCCCAGCTTTGGTGGTCCTAGGCTCCCGGAGTCCAGAATGAAAGAACAGAAGGGAGTTTCACGTTGTGACATGGCACTGAGGAGCTGTGGGGGCCTTGAGTTAGGTTATGTTCATTCTCCCATCTCCTTCTCCTAAGAGAGCTTGGAAAGTTAGGCCATCTGAATTCTAGAAGAGATTGACAGGAACCAAGATGAAAATGGGGGGCAGAAAGGCAGATCCCTGGCAAAGAACGTGCACCCCAGAAATGAGTCACAGAAGCATGGACCAAGCCAGAGGCCATTCCCTGGGCATTTGGGCTGCTCACACACACAGGCCCTGGACAGAACTGTGTCAGAGAGGTTCCCCAGAGGGATAACAGGGAGTCTGGGGCCTACGCTGCCCTGTATGGCAAGCTGTTCCCTATGGCCTATCAGCCATAACGGGCCCCTGATGACAGGTAAGGAGAGAGGCTGGAACATGGAGGCGGCAACTATTGCTGACCCAGAGTCAAGCTCTCAGCCCTTGGATTAGGGTGGACAGAGGGATATGGGATCGGGAATAGATGAAAAGTGGCTGAGAAAACGGTGTGCTGAAGAGTCCTGCAGACTGTTGGCCTCTCTCCCACACGCCGGCAGGGCTACTCTCACCTCTCCAGGCTGCAGCTGTGTCAAGTCTTCAGTGGAGCTCTCGTTTGTCCTGTCTGGAAGCTCAAAAGGAAATGGGGTCAGCATTGCAGCCATGGCCCTGAAGCATCTGCCTAGATCTGTCCCTTCCAAAAGCCTAATGCCGTATCTGCAGACCCAGCCTACAAGTTACCAAACTTCTCTATATGACCTGTCCTTGTCTTCGTTGAGCTATCAAGAATATCCACAACCAGGATGCTTCTTCAGTTCCCCAGCTGGGCACTGACCTGGGCACTCCAGGAACCGAACCGCTCAGCCATGTCAGAGCATCTTATTTAGTCTCCTTAAAAGTCACCCCTCTGGGATACTGGTCATCCCTTCGTGGATGGTCCCAAGATCCCAGAATCCCATGCCTGCAACCAGGGATTTCACTACACACTTCCAGGGCTCTCCTCTCCAGTCTCTCTGCCTCCAGGGGAATCTTGAAGCCCCTTCTAGCTGCTATTCCCAGGCAACCAGAACACAGGGGGAGCCCTGTAGCTTCCTGCAGCTTAGCGCCTTCTCTTTCCCAAGTCCTTGCTTCACCATCTGGCTTGTCTTGGGTGTCCCTGCTTCAGAGAGCCAGGGAATAGAACTGGGTTGCCTGTTAGAGCCGCTGAGGCCAGCCTCCCTGTTCACCTCCCAGCTGACATCTGGGAGAGTAAGGAGGACCACACAGAAGTACATCTTCCCAAGCCCCAGCATCCCAGGCTCCCCAAGAAGCTCTCCTTGGCTTCCCCAGTCCACACGGACACTCTGACTATATACCTCTGCTCAAGCCCAGTCTGCTCCTCAGGACCACACGTGCCTCAGTTTACCCAGAGAATCTACACCAGGAGTCCAAGCCCGTGCCCTCTGCTGCCAAGGTGAAGACAGGAGAGGCGAGGACTCAGCCAATGCTCACCCCCTCTCTGGTGCTACTTTATTCCTTTTAGCTTGTAGTGGGGACAGTACCCGATTGATGGTTCGCTACAGGCTCTGCGGTGGCACCGCTTCTGCTCCCAGCAGCTGCTTGCCCCCGACTTCTCCCTGGCAGTGCCTCCCATCCATGTCCCCTGACAAGCTCCTCCTCCGACTGCCTGCTGCTCCCAGGGCTGCCCATCACCCACACTGCAGAAGTGAGGGACAGTAATGGGGGCTATTGATGTGAGCTTTGGGCAACGGAACTTGACAAGGCTGCAGATAAACTTTTTCCTCTTCTTCTCCCACCCCTAGATTTTACTTTGCCTGGTGTTGAAGTCACAGAAGTGGCACAGGACAGCATAGCCATGGGTCCTACTTTCTGGGACATCCATGCCAAGCTATCACCCCCCTGTAGGAAGGGAGTGTCTGCTACATGCTGGCTGTCCCTGGGCCCTTCCTGCAAGTCCATAAAGGGCGTGCTGTGGGACCATGGCAGACTTCAGGAAGACTAGTTCTAGTCACACTATTGCTGTGATAAAACACTCTTGCAGAAAACAATGTAGGGGCAGAATGGGCTTATTTCAGCTTACAAGTTATAGTCTATTAGTGAGGGAAATCAATGTAGGCAGTCAATTGAAGCAGAAGCCATGGGGAAAAATACTGCTTGCTGGCTTGCTTGACTTGGCTAGCCCAGGAGGGGCTACCTGCCTAGGGAACATTGCTGCCCATAGAGGGTTGGCCCTCCTACATCAATTAACAGTCAAGACAATTCCCCAGAGATACTCACACCAGCTGTTCTGATCTAGGCAATTCCTCAGTTAAGGCTTTCCTCTCGAGTGACTGTGTCAAGTTGACAAAGCTCACTGTGACACTCACCTTTGCAGGTCTGACAGCAGGAGTCAGGCAGAGGGAGTGGGGTGGGGCAGCTGGGCTCCGGGCAGGTCATGAGACCGCAGTAGGTGTGGCCCTCCTGACAGACAGAACACACCAGATTGGAGATGAGCTCTGCTGAAGAACAGCCTTGGGGCCCAGGAGAGTCTCTTTCCCTGGGAACAAGTCACCCCTGAGGTAGAGGATGGAGGGAGTGGCATGTGGTTCCTGAGCAGGGAAAGTCCGCTCTGGAGTTTCCCCTTGATCTCCTATTCCCTCTCTAAGCCCTGAAAAGAACTGCACCTCCAATATTCCCTCAGCCTTCACAGCCACCTGTGCGATGGCTTCAAGATGAGTGGAGTCCTGGAGAGGAGCGGGGAACTGCCACCTAGTCATAGACGTTAAGTTAGAAGGGACCAGAGCTCAGGCTTCAGGTTTTTCCTACTGAAATTATCTTTCTCTCAGGCTTGCATCAGGGACCCAGCAAGGGAGAGGACTACATGGGTGGCCCCTAGGCTTATATCAGTCTTACTGAAAACCATTGGCCTTGAACTTCAAGGTGAGACTGCAGGATACAGGGCCCTCTGGGAAGTAGGAGGCTGGGCCCCTTTGGAGAGGTCTTCTCTCCTTCCATGAAAGGCAGAGAGCACACCCGTTGGGGTTGTGAGGATCAGCTGCCAGCGTGACCGTGAAAAGCGGCTACAAGGCCCCTTATTCCTGTAGTCTGAGAGGTAAAGCTCCTGCTCCAGAGGGGAGGTCAGACCTCAAGCCAGAGGCATAAACAGGGATGAGGTGGAAGAGAGGAGAGCTATGCTGCCAGCAAGGGTGGACAAAGGAACCTCTAGAGCATCCCCTCATCCACCACCATCATGTCTGCATCTTTCCACAGCCTGGTCCCAACGCACACCTCCCCCTTTACGGGAAGCAGCATCCCACTGGGAAAGGAGCACAGACTTTGGGAGTCATGGAGGTCTGGGTCTGGATTTTGACTGTGTAGCTGTAAGCAAGCTACTTAACTGCTTTGAGTTCCATCGTTTATCTGACCCTTCCCCTAGGGCCATTGACTGAAGACAGCTCTGTGAACCTGAATCTAGCGCTGCAATGTCCTAGTCTCTAGAGAGAGGCCCATGCTCCGCACAGCAGTCACTCGCTAGCCTGACAGGTCATCATTTCCAGACGCTGGTTGGCTGTTTTGTCTACCAAATGGAAACTTTTAAGACTCATAGCCTGAACTGATGGAGACTGAAGAAAATGGAGAAGCAGGTTAGAGAGAGGTGGCTGGCCTAAGTCACACTGGGGACCAAGTGTTTTCCTCCAAATTGAAACATTTCCTCCTACAGGGAGGTTGGAGGCTGGCTAATAAGACTCTGGAAGCCAAGGAAACTTTCAAGGCTCGGGACACTCGGAAAGATCTAGGGCTCCCAAGGCCCCCTCCGAGATTAAATGAGCAAGCAATAGCTGGGGAGAAGGACTCTTTGGTAGAGCAGCCTGCATGTTGTAGAGGGAACTCCAAGGATGTATTTGTGACATGAGTTGTCACGCATGTGGGGGTGGAACTTTTAGTGATGTCATTGTCTATGAGCCAGCCACATGCCTGTCACCTAATATGTCTGTCACGAATGCACCAAGGTGGGCTTGAGTGGAATAGTTTCTTTGGTTTGTTTTTGGTACCCTATCTGTGGTGTTAGTCCAAGTCTCTTCAGAAAAAGTCACACAGCGCCAGAGCAGAGCTGGAGTTCACGCCCAGCTCACTGACACCTCATCTGGAAAGAGGCTAACGATCACCTCAGCAGACTCCCTCAAGGAGGTATGGTGAGAGAAAGGGATGCTAAACCTGACAGTAAGAGTAACAGCACGTGTTACGGGAAGAGAGCTTCAAGACTCTCCCAGCAAGAAGATGAAGACATCCTAAGTCCTCCCTCCACGCTTGGCTTTGCTCTGTTCCCCAATTACAGGGCTGTCAACCCTGCTGCGCCCCTAGGCCTAGACCATGGGCATGGAAAGCCTAAGCACTTCAGACTAAATCCTATCTGTGCCCCAAGCTTGTTGATGAATGGCATTCATTCATCCAGCCAGCCAGCCAGCCACGGGCATCCTCTGCATGATAGACTCAGGGCATGGGGCAGGAGAAGACACAGCAACAACATGGACGCATTTCCTCCCTTCACAGAGGTACAGTGTCCACTGGGGAAAGCAGACATGAGCTACTCTCATTATTTGGGGATCAGGCGTAGAAACCCGGAGAAAGGTCATCTCACCAAGCTAGGGGCAGGACATTGTGGACCCTGGGTGTTCCCTTCTCTCCAACCTCTCTTATTCTCACTAATGACCTGCCCCATCCCCTCTGTAGGAGAGACGCTGGCTTGGACCCCCCAGAGATGGTAGAAGGTCTTACAATACAGCTACAGAGGACACACTGGTTGGACAGGCGGGTGGGGATCAGCTCTTGAGCACTGAAGATCTCTCCATGCTGGTATGTGGTCTCATTGAGCTGGCAGGATTTTAGGGGAGCCCGAATCCCAGAGGGTTGATGAGGATCTGCAGGCAGGAGAGCACAGGAAGAAGGAAATGAAATTTCCATGGATTTAAGATTTTTGCCAGAATTAGGAAGGTCACTTCTCTGAAGATTTTGCTCTTTCTCCCCCCTTAGCATTTAACCTAAGGTCTGACTCTGGCTTCCCAGACATTTACAATATCAGCTGGCCAAGAGGTCTCACCAATAACCACATCTGACCACATGTCTCTCTCCACTGCAGCCCAGCCACTCCTCAGTGTCTGAAGCCCATGAACGTGCATGGAGCACTCTGGGCTTGGTTCTCCAAGAGACAGGGCTGCAGAATACAGAATTCTTACCCTCATGGAGTTACTCTCACAGAGTCAGGTGTGAAGTTCTTCACCATCCTGATGCTCGGTGTAAACTCCTGTCATTCACTGGCCACCAAGGCCAGCTCCCTCCCACTCCTCATTCTGCTGGGACACCCCTCTCACTCCCTCACAATACCCTCACTAAGACTGCTCCCAGCACCAGGCCCCAGGCCAGGCACCAGGAACAGAGTGAGGACCGAGGCTTGGCCCTGCCACCTAGAGTTCACAATCTAAGAGGTAGAGAAATGTACCACAGCAAAGACACCACACACACAAGCACACAGGGGCCACAAGTCATTCACTTTCACTTTCCCCATTACTTCCTCACTGGCAGAGGGACAGGAGCCCAAGTGTGAAGTCAGCATGCCAAGCCAATCTTATCTCCTTCCGCCAGTTCTCCTCTTTCTTCCTTTAACTTTACATTTTTTACTACATTTCTTCATTCTGGAGGAAGGAGTGCAAGCTGTGGCATGTGGGTGGAGGTCAGAGGATAATCCTGAGTCAGTTTCTCCTCCTACCATGTGGGTCCCAGGGACTGTGCTCAGGTGTTCATCTTGGGGAGCTCAGTTTCCCCTACCTGCTGAGTCATCTTGTCGACCCATTTCTACTCCACCTGCCTTCTCCTGCAATGTGTATCAATTTTGGAACCAGAAGTTTGCTGCTACCCTAGTCTATTTAGGGATCCAGAATGTGTCCACTGAGCATCTGTTAGTTCCCACACATCTGATGGACAGGGCCACTCTTTTCCTTCTGGAAGCTTCTCTCAGCCAGGGGCTTCCAGCAAGAGTGAGCTGGTCAAGTGTGGAGCTCGGTACCAGGGGAGGAAGGATGCTACTTACCCACACACCTGGGGCAGCACTGCTGTGGCTCCATCACAGGCTGTGAGCAGTGGAGACGTGGGCATCGGAGGCGGTAACAATTCACATGGCCCATCTGGAAGAGATACACGGTCAGGCCTTATTCCAAAGAACCACTGCCTCCCATCTGCAGTGGTCCTCACCCCAAAATTCCACCCTAAACTACACAATCCTGCTTTGTCTTAAGCCTATATACAATAGGATCCAAAATAAACTCAAGTGAGCCCTGCCCCTACCCTTCCCGCTAATCGATCTCACTTAGCCTACTCATCTGCATCCTTCACCCATGGGGAAGACAGACCTGTCAGGGGTTTGCTTAGACCTCATGGCCCTTTCATGGGTATGAGAAGTAGAAGTAAAAGCCTTGAGGTATCGGGGCATTGATCTTGGTGCTCTGCTCAGGCTAATTTTAACTCTATGGCTTTTTGTCTTACAGTACTGACTCTGAGCTTTGTGTTCAGAGGAGGGTGGTAACACAAGATGCCAGCGACCAGGACAGGACTGAAATCTGGTGTGGAAAAGACTTGGGTCTTTATCATCCTACTCTCCTAGTCTCCAAGAGGTCTGTGGAATCCTGGACAGAGCCTCTGGGGTTGGCACCATAGAAGGGACCTGAAGTTCTTTAATGTCATCAAGATCAGCAGGTAAAAGAATCAGACAAACACACATAGAGATTAACAGAGGCAACGATAGAGACCACAGGGGTTTCCCAGAGCACCAGGCCACCTCTCAGACCTTCCTCAGCCTTCCCACACCTTGGTCTTGCTCCCATGCCAGACTCACTGTATCCCCTATTCAACCATGAACTCCAAAGCATGGTAGTCGTGGGGCCTGACTCCAAGCAAGCAACCACTAAAATCTAAAGTGTGAGTTATGTGAGAAGAGAGAGCCAGGGGTCAGACATGGAGGTTCTTGAATGAATGGAGTCAGCATTGATTAGTTAATCAAGCTGACTCCAGCTCTCTAGTATGTAGTTCCCTTTTTATCATCCTCTGCCCAGAAGAAGCTGTGGATTGGACTTCTCCAGAAGCCACCTCATGCACCAAGGAAGACCCTAGACTTCCTGAGTCCCTCTGGAATCTCTACTTCCCAAGATGGCCAGAGATAACGCCAAGGACTGATCAGAATTGGTTTGAGCTTCAACAGTGACCTCCTAGGGATCCCTCAAGTGTGAAGATGAATTAATCTCAAGAGGCCCTCAGGTGAGAAACCATGTGGACTTTGAGGACGTGTGGTCTCTTGGCTCTTGCTGAAGTGATGGACAGCAGGAGGCAGTGGATCAGGTAGGGTCAGCTTGTGGGTGAAAAGGCAAGGACAAGGCACGTGCAGGGCTCTTCACTGTAGGGTCAGACCCACCATTTTTTGGAGCGGCTGTGTAAATATAGATGACTTCACATCCTGCCCTCAACAACGCTGAAAGGCACTAGCATCCACACTGGGAGCAAAGAATGTCCCAGAGGCTGTCTGAGATCACACAGCAGCTAACCACCATCACCAGGGCCCATGCCTGCCTGGGATACTGAGCATAGACACACAACCAGGATGAGTGACAGTCTTTCTGTTCTCAGACGCCTGCACCCCCAGTGGCTAGAGGTGGACCATACGGCATTAAGAAGCAGGGGCAAGCTAACTTCAGGTGTTGTGTTTACAGCCATGACCAAACCAGGTGGTGTAATTAGAAGACACATTTGGAGACTGTAAGAGAAGCCCTCCTAAAGAGATGACAGTCACATTGTGAAGGGAAAAGCAGCCTATTTCAATGGAGGGAATAGTGAGGATGTCCCAAATGTTGGAGGTTCAGACATCAGGCTGGTGTGGCTGCAGCAGGGCTCAGGTGTATGGAGTTAGAAGATAAGGAGAACTGCTAGAGGGCTGGTCTGGCAGAGTGCTTGCCTAGCATGCATGAAACCCTGGGTTCTATCCCTTGCGCCCCACAAAGTAGGCACAGTGGCACACACTATCACTATCAGAGGCAGAAGGGTCAGAAGTTCAAGATTATTCTCAGATACATTTGAGGTTAGCCTAGGCTACATGAGACCCTGTCGTAAGAAAAAAGTGATTGGATGGTTTTAAGAACGAAGGGACACCATAGCTCTGGGTTCAAGGAAGGCCTTTGTAGCTGCTTCGTGGAGAATGGATTTTGAGAGGGACAGCCGAGAGGCCTGTTGGTGAGCTCGTGCAGCAGTCCGGATGAGAGATGAAGATAGCTTAGATGGTGAGGAGAGGCAATGGTGGAGAGAAATGGAGGCATTCAGACTGCACTGTGGAAATGTGGACGGCGGCTCTTTGGGCTCAGGAAAGGAAACTACATGTGTGAACTCTGGGAAGGAGGCACGAATAAGTGCCAATGGATCACAAAACTTGGCCTTTGTCAACTGGACCATGTGACATGTCTGGAATTTTCTGTTATGGTTTCCTTTCTGTTTTCTGGCTATATTTCATAAAGTTCCTTCTTAAAAGGCTTATTGGCATCAGATGTGCTAAGGATAATAAAAAGGAGGCGGCTGCAGCCATGGGGGATTGTCTTTCCTGTCAGTGTCTGAGCTCTACCTGAAGCTAAGATGGGTGGAACAGTGGGGAGAGAGGGAAGGGCCCAGGAAGGAGTGAGCCCCGCAAGGGAAGTGGAGAGCTCCCCACTCAGGTCTCCTTTGGGGCTCTTCTCTGCCTCTAGAGGCTCTGTCTTAACCATGAATGCCCTCAGAGCTTCTGCCTCCTCCCTCTCTAGGTCTGTGGAGTAAAAGAGGGTGCTGAGGGTCTGAGAGCCAGAAGCCCCAGCACCATCCAGAAAATGAGTTCAAGACATAAACCAGCAGGGCCCTGCTGGCTGAGTGTCCCCTCGCCCCACTCCCCCTGTTCTCCCATCCTCACACCTTCCTGGAGAATTCTGCACCTCACTGGGTTTCTTTATGCTACCCAATTGACTGTGCAAGGCCCAGGACGGTGCTGGGTCGGTGATATGGTTTGGATGTTGAATGCAGGTCCCAGGGTGAAGCTGTTGGGAGGTTCAGTAGATGGGATTTTGTGGGCAGTCCATAGGTCACTGGGGGTGTGCCCTTGTTTGGCTTCCTGGCCACAAAGTAAACAATGTGGTCAATTGACCTTGAACAACACCCTTTAAAGCTGTGAAATGGAGCAAACATGTCTTCTTCATGTTTATTTTCTCAAGTGTGCTGTGGTGATGGAAGGCTTCCTGGTGCAGTTGGGGTAGTAAGAGAGATAGAAATGAAAACAAAGATACGGTCTCTGCCCCATTTGGTTCAGCCTTTGGCTGGATGTGAGACTTACTCTTGGGGGCCTCATAGGAGATGCACATAGTTGTGAACAGTAATGAGGAGACCGAGACAATGATGTTCATGCAAGAAGAGCTCCTTCCAGGCAGGGGGCCTTTACTGTTCCAGGTGAAGCCTTGAAGAACACATATTTGGATCGGCTGAGGTGGAGGAATGTATGTTGAGTCATGGTTAGGTGGAAGACTGGAGGGAATTCCTTGGACACGAAGGAGTGGAAGTCACAGAGGCTTTGCCTCGGCTGGGTGGAGACAGCAAGGCTGGCACCAACACAGACTAGACTAGAAACTAGATCCTCAATCTGCCCAGCCACTACACCACAGCTGCTCATTCTAGGATGATAATTCCTGGGTATCTGGACCTTAAGTCAGGGTGTCCTTCCATCCTCTGGTCTCCCAGACATACTTGACAGAGGTGGCCCAGTTGCCAGAGGGACCTACCTCAGTGCAGGTACATCGCACACAGTATATCGTGCCTTGTGGTTCCAGGTAGGGGTGCCAGCTCTGGCCAGGAGTATATATCTTCTCACCGAAAAGGCAGACTTTGCCTGGGCCTGGCAAGCCAACGAGGGATGTTAGTCTCAGGAGGTTCCAACCCAAAGCCCTGCCTCATCCCTGCTCCCAGAATGTCTGAGTCTGAATCTTAGCTGGACCACACGCTTGCTATTAGGCATGCTGCTGCTCCTCTCTGAGCCTTGGCAGCGTACAGGGCAGTGGGGATTGAGCAATGAAAGGCTTTACAGATCAACACTGTGGTATAAATGGCAGTTCTTATGCATAGTGGTTAATAAGAGGTCCAGAAAGGATGAATTGGATGCTAAGGCCACACAGCAGTTAACACACCAAGTAGGCTAGAAGCCGGGGTCTCCTGGCTCTCAGTGCATTGTTCCTCTGCCCCATACTAACACTCGATTTCTTTCCTTTGTCCCATTTGTCCCTCTCATCTCAGTCTGACACACACACACACACACACACACACACACACACACACACACAGCATCTAACATTCATGTATCATTAAAAATGGCCTTTGTAACCATCCTGAGTGAGGTAACTCAAACCCAGAAAGACAAATAGAGTGTGTACTCACTCATAAGTGGTTACCAGACATAAAGCAAAAGATACCCAGCCTACAATCTTCATAACCCCAAAGAAGCTAGAACCCTCTTCCAGAAACAGATGGAAAAAGACGCAGAAATCCACAACTAACCATTGGACCAAGCTCCTGGAGTACAATCAAAGTGAGGGGGAAGTGATAATATGAACAAAGGAGTCAAGACCATGATGGGGAAACCCACAGAATCAGCTGACCAGAGCTAGTAAGAGATCACTGACTCAGGTCTGACAGATGGGGAACCTGCATAAGACCAAACTAGACTCCCTTAATGTAAGTGACGATGGTGTGACTGGGTCAATATATGAGGCCACTGGCAGTAGGTTCAAGATCTAACTCTAATGCACAAACTGACTTAGTGGAGCCCATGCTGTATGGAGAGATACCTTGCCCAGCCTAGATAAAGGGATGTGGGGGTGGGGGTGGGGGTGGGGAGGTGCCTTGGTCCTGCCTCAGTGAGATGATGGGACAGACTTAGTAGACTTCCTAGGGGAGGCCTTACCCTCTCTGAGGAGCAGATGGGAGGTGAGGGTGAGGAGGGATCAGGAGGAGTGGAGGGAGGGGGAACTGGGATTGGAATGTAAAAAATATATAAATAAATGATCTTTGTACGCCAAGGGGATGGTAGTGGACAAAAGCTTGCTACACAAATGTGAGGGCTGGTGTTCAGATCCTCAGCACCATGTGGAACGTCCCAAAGGTGTGGTAGCCTATCTGGGATTTTAGTGCTGGGGGTGGGTGGCAGAGGACAGGGGATCCCTGGAGAAGTGTGGCTGGCTAGACTAGTGGAAATCTCACTAGACTAGTCAAATCAGCGAGTGCTGGGTTCAAGTAACAGACCCTGCCTCAGTATATAATAAGGTGGGGAAGAATTAAGAATGACACCCAATGTCAGCCTTTGACATCTACATCCGTGCATAGACATCTGTACACATACACATGCACATACACAACATGAACTCAACACACACACAACATGAACACAACACACACACACACACACACACACAGAGACAGAGAGAGAGAGAGAGAGAGAGAGAGAGAGAGAGAGAGATCATCTTTGTTACTTCCCTGAGTCACCTTAATGACTGTGCATCTGTTGTTAACAGGTACGTGGATTGTTTCTCAGAATGACTGAAACACTGGCTTGTGTTTGAGATGGGTTAGCTGCCCCTCCTACTCCCCTAAAGCCTCCACCTCTTCTTTAATTTCTAACCTGTCATTGTCACCTCACTTTCTTCCTACCTCTTGGCTGGCCCAGAGTCAGGCTTCCCATTTCAACATGGCTACTCAGGCTCACTATGGTTCTTGCCCTGTCTCTACCAGCTCTCATTATGCAGCCATCCTGGGATCTTCAGCCCCAAGTGGATATGGCATTCTTGTAGGAAAACTCTAGCTCTTCTTTTCACAAGAAACGGGGAGGGCCCACCAGAGCGAAGTGCCTCCATACTGAAACATGGGGATTGAACCCTGCATTTATTCTCTGTGCTGTGTTACTTAAGGGGAGCTGGGTAAGTAGCTCAACTGGCAGAGAGTGCTTGCCCAGCATACACAAAACCTTGGGTTTGGTCCTTTCCTCGCATCCTTTAAGTCAGGCCTGGAGGCAGAGGTCTGTAACTCCAGCACTCTGAAGGTGGGGAAAGAAGATAAGAAGTTCAGGGTCATCCTCAACTGTATATGAGTTTGAGGACAACCTGGGATACATGAGACCCTGTGTGGAAAAGTCGATGATTTCCTAAACGTTGTGTGAGAATTAACTGCTGTAATACTTGCTTAGCTTTCTTACTGGGGGCCAAGGAGGACGTTAGGAACACCCAGCTTAGCTTTCTCCCTATGGGCCATGGAGGACCTTAGGAACATACTACTTAGCTTTCTCACTGGGGGCTATGAAGGACCTTAGGAACACACAGCTTAACTTTTTCCCTACCTGTTTCCCACCAACCTACTGTGGAGGGTGGCACCAGACAGCAGGTCCTATCCCCCATGAGCCAGCAACTCCTGGCTGGCTTGTCTTGCCCATATCAAATGACCTGTGTTTATCTCTCAGCCTCCCCTGGCAGAGGGTGGAACACAGGCCCAGCTGGGGTGCTGGCTAGAGCCAGTCTGACTCTCCAAGGAGTGAATAATGTCTTTCTTTCTCAGTCTCCTCCCCCAACAAGGGAGGGGTGATTGCAACACCATGACTACCTTAGGTCTCAGTCAGTTGTTGAAGAAACTGTGTCCTACCTTCCTTGGGGCAGTTCTAAAGCCTTGGGCTTCCCTGCCAATTGGCATGCCTTCCCTTCCCTGCCTGCTCAGAGTATGAGGACAGGAGCCACTCAGTCAGGGCTCCTCCCTGCCACCAACATGCTTGGCAGAAGCTGAGTTTGTGGGGGGCCTGGCAGGAGGCCTTTGGTGGCCACGGACTCCACCCTACCATGCCCTCTAAGGTGCCTGGAGCGCTCTCTTCCTCTAGGGAGGTGCGTGCCCAAGGCCACGTGAAAACCAGGAGAAGAGGAGACTGCCAAGCACAGTCACCCTGGTTCCAGTGACCCTGGCACCAGCACCAGCTCCTGTCCAAGGTTGTTGGCAGAAGTGTTCACTCCCAAAGCTGTGAGCACACGAGGTGACATTCAGAAACATCTTACCTTCTCTGAGCCTCAGTTTCCCCATATGAAAGATACACAGGGGTAGGCTATGGTCTCCAGAGGTTTCCCCCATACTCTATGAATCCATGATTTCAAGTTTTCTAAGATTCAAGACTTGAGAGTTGCACATTTGTAGAGGCCTACATTTCATTACACCATGAAGCTTCTAATGGGCTTGTTTGATGCTGTGGATATGAGATGGATTGACTACTCCACAGTTCTTTGATGTTCTGATGGCTGCATCCCAGGTTCTCAGGATCTCCAATGCAGATTAGGATGCAGTTCTGGGAGCCACTGGGGTCAACCCTGGGTTCACTTGAGAAGGAGGCAGTGTGCTCTTCACACTCCCTCCCTTTGTCCTCCACAGCCTTCTCTCTCCTCTCCTAGCCCAGCTTCTTCTCGCCCATCACCAATTCTCATCCACTCACCTGTGCTCAGCCTCTTCTCAACCATCACCAATTTGTATTCACCCACCTGGGCCCAGCTCTCTCTCCATCTAGAAATAAGCATGTCTTAATTTCTAAAACCTTCTGTTGTCCCAGAGGTCAGGGCTTAAATAACAGATTTGGCTTTTATTTGAAGCTCAAGTAGAGCAAAGCTACTTAAGTATCCCACGACCAATTCTGCATCTGTTCAGTGGGACTTGTAATATACTATGCCCAGGCTATTCTAGGATTAAGTCGGATCCTACATGCGCCATGCTTACTGTCAGACACACATTACAATATATGTTCATTTAAGTAGTGCATAAGACCAGACTGACAAAAGCCAGATCCGTGTGCTGGCTCTACACTTCCTTAACAGTCTATTTCTCACGGTATTTATTTCCAGAGTTCTCAGGTCATGAATATCATAGTTCCCCAGAGGTTCCTTGTTCATGATGCTCCTGGTCCCTTCTATCTTCACTCAAAAGCCAATCCTGTCTCCCTTAGTATCATCATTGTCTAAATGAACTCAGTTTGGGGTGCAGAGCTGAAAGTGCTCAGAAGGTTGGGCAAAGAATGGGAAGGCAGGAATAAGAGCTCTGGCTGGGGAAGGAGAGATGGAAGCTCATGATGGGGCCTTGGGGTCAACAGAGCAAAGGGCAGCTGTGGGAATTATTAACTGGTTTGAACAAGTGTCACTGTGGGCCATGGGAGTTGAAAAGCAATTGGAGGGCCAGTGGGCAAGGGATCAAGAAAGAGTTATGGCTGTCACCCTGGTGAGACAGTACCATAGCTGGACCTAAAGGGAAGCAACAGGTACACATTGAAGAAGCTCATTTGTAGGTTCCAATGGCAGGCTATAGAGCAGGATGGATGGAGAGGGCAGAGGAGCAATCAAGGAGGGGATGGAGGTCAGGGTACATGTGATGTCAGGGTAGCCCAGAACCATCTGCAAGGCAGGGGAGAAGTACAGTAGCCGGAGGCATCTGGCAACACGAAAGTTAGCAGAGTGACAGCAAGTGATCACAGGGGTTGTAGCTCCTGGGCAGGGGTCAGAAAATGACATATCAGTGACAGCAGGGCACTTGGCACCATATGTAGTGAGTGTCATTATCATTAGTGACCTGAGAAAGCTTCCTGATATTCACTGATTTGTGACCGGATCTCAAGTCTTATACCAGAGGGAGAGAGACAGAGACAGAGAGACAGAGAGAGAGACAGAGAGAGATATGCAGAGATAGACAGGCACACACACACACACACACACACACACACAGGCCAAGGCAGTGGGGTGGGGTGGGAGGGTGGGAGGTGGGGGGTGGGAAGAGACACCAAGCAGGATCTTGGAAGTGTTAGCAAGGATTTGGAGCCACCTGCAAAGGCACAGA